TGGACGCGAGAGTTTCTGTATCGTCCTCGATCTCAGCAGCTCGGCCTTCTGAAGTTTCGTCGTCATTTTCTGAATCGGACACGAGAGTCTCTGTGTCATCCTCCACACCTATTTCGTCAACCCGGCTCTCCAAAACTATTCGATCATTGGGCCGATGCCGTTTCGATACAGATTGGGACTCCTCCAGAAGCAAGGGTGCCTTTCGAACTGTTTTACTAGGCCGCCGCATGGAAAATAGGTCGTCACCAGGGAGGAGTAAACGTCGCTCAGAGCGAACCGTGCCATCCATTCGCCTGGTGGGAATTAAGGTATCGTTTCTATTCGCGAACAGTAATTTGTGGACCTCAAATCCCATTGCAGGGTTTCGAAGAGGACGCTCCGCGCCCCACTGAGCGTATTGGAGGAGTAGTGGATCGTCGTTTCGATAGCGATCCTCACCCGGGTTGTAGTCGTTCGACAAGCACTCGAACACCCGTTTCATTGTCCTCCAGGCTCTCTCCTCGAACTCGTCCTCCTCTGGTGTGCTGGGACCCTGGAACATATCGAAACCCCAGAGATGGTGATATACTCGGAGTTTGCCGTCCTGAACCCAGTGGTCGGAAGCATAAGGATAACGAAGGTAGAGACGACGCGCGCGGCTTCTGTCATGAAGCTGTGATAGGGAATGGTAGAACTGTCGGAGAGACGCATCAGGGGTCAACAATCATGATTATAAAAGATGATCCGTCATCAAACAACGCACCAATCGCTTATCCGCATATTGAAGTGGACGGCCAGATTGCCGTTCGTACGCTATCCCGATAATGTCGTCTCCACGGAGAATGTGTGCTACCGGTCTGTAACACAAGTCGAGCTCACTGAGCTCCTTCACAATTTTTGTCATTTGTTCCATCTTTTTGAAGGTTAGAACGTCCCACGCGATATCGACGTCTTGAAGTTGAAGCGCTGGTCATTCCCGGTGTCACTCGATTGAGAACACATTACACTCACCCACTTCCGTTCCATCTAGCAAGCATAAACATCTACCCGTGCCGACCCATCTGATGAGCTGTAACTGGCTTTCCCGGACTTTCCGGAGCCAAAGAGGAGCTTTGATTTTATACATGGTCCAGCTCTCCTTCTTTGGCGCAAGGTGTAACTCCTCTGTCTTTTCATCCTGCTGGAGGACGAACCATTTGTAGCGTTTGAAAGGCTGTCTCTTGATTTGCCCCAACTAAAAGGGCATAAGCAATTGGAGGAGGAAATCTCTCAGACTGGTTGTATATTCACCATAGCCCCCAAGTGCCTATGTCGAACCCCGTCATGTGCAGTGATAAGGTTATTGTGGTCGATATATGTAGCTCCAAGTTGAGGAGCCTGAACCACAAAGATTTCACCGTCCAAATAGAGCAAATAGAACGACCCTTCCCGGGGTTCAAGCCAGTAACTGAAATCTGGATCATCGTCAGTAATTCCTCGCCCACACGCATAGAGACACTGCTCGCTGTTACCCACCGATGTCCAAGAGAGTGTTCTGGGGAAGTTGGCACAGGGACGTGTCCATCGATGTAGGTTGGCGGGGGTGTAGATCCCCAAAACCGCTACCCAGACCCAAATATATTGGGTGTAGGTGAGACTTCAGCTCGACGGACGAGCAATGCTGTGAAATGCCAGCCTCTCACCGTCCCACGCATGGGTCCAGTTCGTTTGATCATCTGGAATGGTATCGATGGTTTCGACAATTCCATGGGTCAAGGTTACCGAAAGGCGAAAATGATCAGCACTAGCCCACACGTCTCGATGGACTCATAATTGAAACGCCCTGCTGCTTCCCGTCGAGTGATTTGCTCGATTGTTCACACCGTTTACATGTGTCCTGCTACTGGCCTACAGTGGCTGGGTTCAACTCTATTCCTTTCCGGCGTGTCGTCTCAGTACTTGGTCATATCGATGGGAGATGAAAACACGGTGCGACCCAACCAATATCCCATGTTAGGTGGATCAGACTAGTCGCACTGAGTTCGAAGCACTATCACTAAATGCTGTCAAAAACGAGCTCAGCAGATCGACAGGTCCCATGGACTCACCAATGGAAGGTAATACATCAGGCCACACTGATCCCGCGGAATAACGCAAGGCCATGAAAAATCACCTCGTTGCCAGTGGGACTGGAGGTATCACAGTAATGATGGTGGCGAGAGCGAGAGTCCAGGGCGATTATCATATCCGCTGTTTGTGCTTTAGCGCCGACGACAGGCAGAAACCACGCCGGTTCCCTGTCCTCCTTCCCTATTCCCCTACTCGATTTATGTAGTTCCCGACAGACCGCGAAACCTCTCAATCTCAATCTGAGGGCAGGAATGGTGGAAGTTCATTGGCATCGAGCGACTCTCGAAATCTTGGTGGGTTAGTTGTGGTGCCGAACATTGATGTCTAGAACCGAGAAGTGGAGGCGTCGACGCCCTCCCGAGATCTGCTGGACTCACGACGATGAGGGGAAAAGATGGAATGGTTCTCGAGCCAGAATCTCACGAGTCGCGACCCACCACTCACCCTCCGTATGTATTTTTACCTGTGCCGTATTGCCGTGGTTTGATTGAGAATTATGCAGAGTTCCAAGGAACTCGCTCGGCCCTCCGAGACTCTAACCCTCAACCTTTGTCAGATACAGTCCTAGTATACATATGGCCTTGGACTTTTTGCACTGGGCTTCGTTCCAATCACGAGCCATGGTTCGTCAATTGGTTGACCCAGCGTTCGTACAGGTTCAGAGTCAGAGTCGTAGTCAGAGTCCTATAGTCGGAGGGGGGGTCGACAGGATAGCAACGACGACTGTCGTCTGATGTACATCTTGGAAGCCGTGCATCTGACGACGAGTTGCAGTTGATGTTGATGGGGGTAGGACGCAAAGCTTTGGATCTTGGATTGAATGCCGTCTCCTGAAGCCATAGAGATGTGAGTCGTGACCACGACCCTGGGGACGAATTTCAAACCCGATCATCCCTTGCAGACTCTCACGAACCCGTCCGAATCGACGACCTTCGTCGTTTGTTTCCACTTGAACCGGTCCGTGGACGACATGTTCTTCAGCCCCCTGTGCACGGTTTGCGGGAGACTGAAGTAGATATTTGAAGCGCGTTATCATCAGGAATGAAACCAGCGAAGGTGACTGCACTGTGAGGATATCGATGGATCGTCCGGCCACTGGAGCCCAAGCTGTAGGTTTTAGACTAATCGTCGTATCAGTGATCACAGCAAAGGAAAAGTGAGGCTGGTGCGAGTCACCACTGCTTCTTGGGCGGCGAGCCTCGGTGGTACCGGGGAGCCCGGGGAGCCCGGGCGCGTTCATATGATCCTTCTCCCCGGGTGGAACAGATTCCAAACGACCGACTAGCGAGCTTTATCACCATTATATCCTCCCCATTGGCCCAAGTATCCACGGTCCGAGTCCCCTTTTTAGAAGTTGAGAGGTGGGCGTGCCAATATCAATACTAGCTTGCTTTTGAATCGCCGCAGTAGCGAAATGAGAGGCCGGCGAATACGCGCGTACAACCGCAATACGAGTCCGAGTATCTCCTTCCGAGTCAACGTGATTCTCTCCTTCATCCAGATAGCTAGCTACCGATTATGAGAACGCCACGAACTGATGATAGAATCAGGTCTAATCCGATCCAACCAAGCAGCAACGAGCTGAAGAGACCCCATCCATCGTTCAAGACGCTGACCGTCGATGCCACGGAGAGAGAGACATAATCAGCGAGAAAGAGAAAGTTCCGAGACCAAGCATCCAGCAAGTCGTCGGAAAGGTCAAGGAGAATACTAGAACAAAAAATGACCCAGTGAGTCAAAACAATCCCTCCGCAGCATGTGACGGTCGATTAGGGGTTAGAGTTCCGAGTGGACAGAGCAGTGCTGAGAGAATCGGTTTGAGGAAAAGAATCTGCACACCAACTCGTCGTGTAGGCCTACTATTCCATTCCTCGCATCCCACCGTCCCGGTCCTTTTGAGCAGTCCAGGCGATGATGGGGGTATCTGGGTTGTTGAAAGCCAGGTCGAGTGAGAGAGAGAAATAAGGAATCTTTGGTTTTGTTGGCGTTGTTTTGTCCCCCCATCCATCCATCCTTCCCATGTCACGGAGAGAGAGATAAGCAGCGAGAAAAATCGAGCATTGAGCAGGTCGGAAAGGTCAAGGAAATACCAGAAAAAAAAGGGCCGATGAGTCAAAACAATCGCTCCGCAGCATGTGGTGGTCGATTAGGGGTCAGTTCCGAGCAACCACGCCAAGACGGGACAGAGAAACTTGAGAGCACGGCCGAGAGAATCATTTTGAGAAAAAGAAGGAAGAATGAGGACGTTGAATGCCGCTATGTCGTCCTGGATGGTACTATATTCTGCGCGACCAAGTCGTATATCCTTGCATTGTCGTCCAGGCATTCCATTTCTCGCATCCCACTCAGCCCTGTCGATCCTTCTGAGAGTCTTTTGAGATATCTGAGGTGTTGAAAGCCGATTCGAACGAAAGAGAAATGAAGGCTTTTCAGAAGCGAGTCTGAGACCAGGGACCGGGACGATCCACGATGTCGAAGTCAGTTTTTGAGGGCGACTTACAAATTGCGACTCAATGTATGCTCCTCTTCCTTGCCAAAGTCAACCAGTCGAGAGAATTGCCAAACCCCAGCCTTTCCGTCTCATCGTCCAAACACTCCCGCCGACCCAGTCCCACCAGTCCTGTCCCCAACGATCCTCCCCATGCCGATCTGAAGCGGAGAGAGAGACGACCATATAAAAGAAAAAAGAACAAGGAAAAATCCGAGAAAAAAAATAATTCCAGCTTGAGCGAGGAGTCGAGAATCGAGAAAGCAGCGACGGCGACGACGACGACCGGTGAAAAAGTCTGACAGTGAAGGAAAAGGAAAATACCGGAACAAAAAGCCCAAGGTCAAAGCTGGCCCCACCCCCCAAAAGATGATCTTGAGCCTCCTCCCCTCAGTGATGCGCAATGCTCGTCCAATTTTGAATGGTCCTGGTCGATTAGTGGTCAAATCATCTCGTTGTGGTGTCAACGGCGCCGAGATCTTTCACAACCGAGAAGCCGAGGGCTCGACTCCCTCCCGGGACACTAAGTCCACGGTTCTTTAGCTGTTCTTTTTTCTTTGAAGTACTTCCTAAGATTACCCCCCCCCTTCTTTCATTCTACGTTCGCGTTCTCACTCATCGAAACAGAAGAGATAAAAGTACAACTTTGAACTTGGTATTCACATATTTCGGTATATACAGGACAGGACATGAAGATGGTCATAAATCATAAAACGAGAGCGGGATATCAGCAAAGAAACCATATGGACCAGAGAACCAAGGAAGGGGATGGATGGAGTAAGGTGGATAGATGAAAGCGTGATATACAGGTAGCAGAATAGAAGAGAGAAAAATGCAACTTGCGAGATGGAGATATGAGGTGTGGAGCGGAGGATAGTATACACTTGGGTCTGGAGCTAAAGCGGGGTTACGGGGGGAAGACGAGGATGGGGATGGAGGTTGCGGCGGACGGTGTTTCATGGGGAATAGTGGGTTGGATGGGGCTAGATCTCGTGCAGAGCTAGACATAGCTCGTATACGTCTGAGCGGGGCCAGGGCCCCGCGCTGAACTAAGCTGAACGCCAGCGACGAATAGCCAGCGAGCAAAGTAAGGCAAAACAAGCGATCGTCGTAAACCATGCAAAGTTCGTATGAACAAGGCAAACGAGCAACGAGCGAAACCCAAAACCGTCCAACCCAAACTCAGAAACCCGAACCCAGGAGAACCCAGATCACTGCAACAGAACCCAAACAGCCATAATCAACCCAACCAGACAAAGCACATTCCCCACAACCTCCCTATCCATCGGTATCGGCGGTGGATGACTACTCTTCTTCGTCTTCGTCGTCGTTGTCATCTGCGAATGATGCAACTCCCACGTCTGACTCTGTTCTGGGGACGACGGCGAACTCGTACTGTCGTCTTCCGAAGTAGAGGAGGCCGAGTCAGACTCCGGTGAGGTACTGCGTACGTTGATACTAGGAACAGGCACCGAGCCTCCCTCGTTCCTCGATATCGGTCGACTAGAAGCTACCGAAGGCGGTGGTGCGATCGGTTTCGACGCGGTGGTGGAGTTGGAAGGAGAAGGTAATGTGAGGATCCCTTGGTTGGGTGAGTTGCATGAGGGGCATTTGCCTTCTGATGAAGGGTGTTGAAGCCACTAGAAAAGGGAAAGGAGGACAGAGTCAGTTGATGTAATGCGGTGATAGACATGTGGAATGATATGTCGGATAAGGTAGACATCATACAGCAAATGCGAATAGAACACGAATAACGAAAGGAGAAATGGAAACGAAGCTAAATGGATAGATTGACGAATAGATGGATGGGGATAACCAGGCGCCTGGAAGTGCACTCGAACACAAGACCCAGCAACCAAGACCCAGAGTGCGAAGCTTCGCTGGCAGTATATCGGGGAAGTGGGTGGGGCACACCGCGCAGAGAAGCGGGGGGGGGCAAAAATACAAAGCATAGAGTAACGTGGCAAGGAACGGGAAAACGGGAAGGAAAGGCACAGAGGCAGAGGCACTCACATCAACGATATGCTCCGTACAATACAACTTTCCACAACACACCGTTCGTGCTGGGTTCACCGCGTTCTCACAGCTGCTCGTGGTAAGAGAAAGATCATCATCAGTTCACTATCCAATGCTCGACACTGTAAGCAGAAAGGAACTCACCAGATCCCACAATCCCTGTCAACACCCCTCGACCCATTCGTCAACGTATTCCTCCTTCTATGCTTCTCACTGAAAGACGACGAGCGCCATAGTCTTCCTCTGGGTTCCTCTCCAGTCGTCGTCGCTTGTAACTGCACAGGCAACGTCGCAACCGGATGCAACTGGGTAGCCAAATAGCTCTCATCCAGAGCGTTCGGACTCCGAATCCCACTGGGTGTCGTCCCACGGCTACTGGGCCTGCTCAGGATGAAGCCAGGGGTACGAGGCGTCTCAGCACCGAGGTTGAGTCCGTATTTGGTGTATTCCTGAGTCTGCGATTCGTTGTCGTTGTCGACGTCGTACCGGTCTGGGTAGAGCAACGAGAGAGAGACTTGTTGTTGAGAGGAGTTATTTCGACGGTGTCGAGCCATTGTTATTGTTGTTGTCGTTGTTGTTCGTGTTCTTGTGAGGTGGAGTAATAGAGAATCAGCGTAACAAGGGAGGGGTTCATATATAAGAGGGGCAATTTTTTTGAATTGATTCGGAGGAGCCGTGTCCCTCGTGACCCGAAATTGGCCCCGGGTGATCATTGTTACGATATTAGACAGAGAGTCGACGGACTTCGGGAGGAACATTCCGTTCCTTCATTAGACCCCAGGTTTGCTGTCCTGGGTCCTTTGCGTTCTATGCACGCTTCCCCAGGTTCCTTGTCGTATGGACATGAAAGCCTTCAACAGTCGACTGAAGAAACGAGAAGAAAAACACTAGTAACGCCATTGCCAGCGGCACGCAATCAACTCCGTCCGCAATAACCAATTATACTGCTCGTCGGCGCGGTCTGGAGTCGTTCTTACTCATGGGCTGGAACTCAACAAACGACGATTCTGGAATGACACAATCATCCACTCACAGCATTTTGCTATGACAGGCTCGGACTGGCCTCGATGCGTCGGGAGAACAACACAGAACAAGACGAGATGTGGCTTGTGGCTTCTAGGCTTCTCATCGATGGGACACGATAAAGGACTTTACATTTCACCGAGGTTTCGTTCGTCATCGTATGTTACAAGTCTCAGCTGAGCTTCTTGTTTTTCCCCCCAGACCTTCCTGCCTTCTTCCAACCCATCACAGATTGACAATCAACATCTCGAGAACATGACAATGACATTCCTCGAATCGGATTAGCAGCTGACGCGGGGTACTCAATCTGATTCATCACCACACACATACATAGCTGGCACCTAATACTGCTAACAAAGCTCCTCAAAGCTCCCTCATAACGCACTAAACGACTCCTCCTCGCTCGAGATTCCAAGCCATCTGATGTCATACATCTCCCCTCCAATTCTGCTTCGCCAGCTGTAGATCTTTGTCTATTCCGACTCAATTCAAACGGGTAAAAAAAATGAAATGTGGAAGCGAAGGGCCAAAGCTTCTGAATCTTCATCCCCAACATCTTGTTCTCCACTTCTGATTCATAACACCGACGTCATCGTACCCTTTCCCCTCCAAGTTCTAAACCTTCCCTCACAACGAATTCAGTGCTCAGTACTCAGTACTCAATCCCGACATGGAGCTCCTCCCCCATATACGAAACTGAAATAACCGACACGGAGCTCACCCGACCTGAGTAACGAGATGGAGACTCCGAGCTGACGAGCCCGTAGTGTAAGTACATATTGCTCATTGCTTAGATGATGACGAACAAACGGGACGTCGGTCAGCATAGAGTACGAGGTGGGGTATGTACTCCGGATTACGAGGAGTGGCCCCCGGGGGCTCTTACAAAACACGAACACGAACGCACGTTCCGGGGCGATGGGGCGATGGAGACGGCTGGGGTATGGACGGTAGAGTTATGGATGAAGCTTGAAGCTGTAGTAGACGTCAGATGCTTCGAAGGCGGGTTACAGAATCCAAGGCTGCTAAGGATGGATGAACTTCCGGGTTCCGGGTGTGCAGGAACTATGGAACGACACTCAGTCAAGTCATATCGGTATCTCTCGTATACATGCATACGTAGCGCATTGCGATGATAGGAATCTACGAAACAGACATGTTACTGTAAGTTGAACGCCATCAATCACTGACAGTGACTATGTACTTCCGTCCCCAGGAACCTTGAGGTTTGGTTTTTGGAACCCACTCGCATTGACAATGAACGAAGTAAAAAAAAATGACGGAGATCCGTTGTCTCGGGAGGGAGTCGAGCCCTCGGCTTCTCGGTTGTAGCAATGAGCAAAGAATCACGACCACAACGAGATGATTTAACCACTAATCGACCAAGACGTTCTTTCCACTGTACATCTCAGGCTCCAAGTTCAAGGTCAAAGCTGTCAATCTCGATCGTGGTGGTGTAAATTTAAATTTTGAGATCTCAGTTTCCTCAAAATATGGCTATTGCTACAAAAACACTAGAGCTATGGATAGTAGTAAATAAATCAAGTTGTGCTCACCCAAAAGCTGAAATCAAGAGGGAAGCAATAAAAAAATTACATTGCCCATCTCACATGTCTCGGGAGGGAGTCGAGCCCTCGGCTTCTCGGTTGTAGCGATCAACAGACATCTTTACCACAACGAGATGATTTGACCACTAATCGACCAAGACGTTCCTTCATTAGAAGAGTCAAAGCTGTATATCCTGGTACTCCAGAGAGGTAGGTACAAGCATCTTTTGAGCAACTATCACCGCCTAGTTCTGGCAATGCCATCGACAATTGACTTGAACGGACGTAGAGATGGAATGGTGCGGGACCGAAGGGTGGGGCGACAGCCTACAGGTTCGAACTTGGAACCTCCGTATGATTCCCAACACCGGGGCGCTGGCGTACATATAAGTAAAGGATAGACAAATGGGTCGTAGGCATGGATCAATTTGAGGCAAGTACTGACCGACCGACGCCTAGGACCAGTAGAAGAAGGCTGATTGAGAGGCGGAAGAGCTTGTCATTCCTTGGAACAACTTCACTTGTATCAACACATGATATAGATCTATAGGTGTGAGTTGCCAAGTTGGCGCAAGGTCTTTTTGCACTACGTCCATGATACTACCCGTTATCAACCTCGTGCAAAAGAGTCGAGGTGAATCAACTCGAATCACCAATCAATCCAAAGTGGCCACCTATTCATGACGACGTCAAAGCAGACGAATCCCAGTTGTTGCTGAAATTGTGGCATGCTCGTCGCTCAGTTAGTGAAAAATTATCAGAAACCGCCGTGTCCTCATACTTACTTTAGATTGTTGTCCACAAAAGGGGGAGAAATATCTCGTCCCAGTTCGTTTGCTCGTCCAGTAAGTCAAAAGATAATACCTGAGAAGAAAACAAAAAATTAGAGTAGACAAAGTGCTGCCAGTACATGTCTCGGGAGGGAGTCGAGCCCTCGGCTTCTCGGTTGTATGTAAGACCAGCAGATTGCAAACACCACCACAACGAGATGATTTAACCACTAATCGACCAAGACGTTCTCAGCACAAGTTAGTCTCGGTTCCAAACCCAATCGAATATTTGTAGGCGTGAGCTTCAAAAATCATCGTTGGACGCGTGGACCCGAACTGAAAGGCTTCTTCATGTCGGACGCTAGATACACTCCCAGCATCGAAGCTCAAGTCGAAACTCGTAGAGCAATTTATGACTAGTGATGAGAGGTTTGTAGGGGGTTCGAACATACGGACGGTGGTTATTCATGAATGTCGGTATACTAGAGCCCGGGACTTGCGTGATTTTGGTCCATTGGTACCGCAATGGAACGGCTGCAAGTTTATAAAACCATTTCGATTGTTAGCATCATGTTCCTCTGTCTCTTGAGCTTCAAGTTCTTCAACCGAAGAAGAGTTCCGTAACGTCTGCGCAGAGAAAACCCCGCGCTTCGGTGACTACTGTATCGGCAGACTCGCCACTCGTACGGGTGGTTCACCCGTTTAATTACTCTCTTCTCTCAGTGGGAGATGCACGTTCCTGATCGCTATTTAATACGACCTGATAAATGATCATCGGATCCGACTCGTATATGAACGAACGTTGTGTGATGACGTGTGAGGGAGGTGCCTTAGTAGTACTACTCATTTGTGGAAGCTCCTCCGCGTGCTTCAATACAGTTCAATACTTGGGTATCCAAGACACTTTCGGTCATCTTTCAACGGCTTTTGGGTGATATCGTACATTCTTTAATGATTTATGACTTCTTCTTCCAGACCTTTGAATTCCTTTACAGGTTAACATCGCGTAAAGGACACCGATATGAGTATGCAAGAAGTGCGTAGATGTGAATATCGCACTTACCTTTACCCGGTGGTTCTTACTTCCAATTGCATCCCGCAACATCCAAACCGCTCTATCGTCGTTTCTTGGCCTCCCCTCCATCCTTGTTCAGGTACTGCTCGAGAACACTATCCCACGCACTAACTCCAGAGTTCGGCTTGGGCGCAGGAACGCTTCGGAAACTCTCAGGCGTTGAGCTCACGGGAGCCTGATAGAACCACTTCGTATTCCAGACGTTCTCTGTGATATCTTTGTTCTCGTACGATTCCTGCAGAAGCTTCATTAGGGTGGACCACTAGAGGAGCGAGTAACGAACCGATTCTATGAGGACCAAAGCTTTGCCCTGACGAGGGGCACCACCATCGGAGCCGTGGGAGATGTAAAAGTCGATTGGATAGCCGTCGTTCACGACGTAGAACCTGTACAAAAAGGAAGAGGTCAGTCATCCCGAACAACAAAAATGGGGACATGGAAAACGTACATAACGGTCTCTCTGTGATATTGGTGACTGTATTCTTTTCCCCACGTTAACTTCGTCTGGTTCCAAACCGTCATCGGTGGTACAGTTTCGCCTTTGATCACAATCGCACTCGGGGTGAGCAAACCGAACTCCGCCCTGGTATACGGCAACGCACGAGGAGAGGGGGGGAGGATGGTCAGAAAGCGCCACAATCAATCACATCGAGACGCCGCGTACCAATCAGATTCGATAGTGAGCGTGACCCGTGTCTTGTAAATCTTTGGGTTGTTCACGATAAAGTTGAACGCCTCTTCAATCTTCGGAGCGGCATTGACAACGTCTTCATCCTCGGCGTTTCTCATCAACGACCACAGCTCGTCCACGACAAAGCTCAGAAGTGCGGGACTCTGCTGGGATGTGCTGGCCCACGCTTGGAAGTTGGGCCAGGTGGGTGCCATTGCGAGGGGCTGGGCTTTATTCCTATCTCCTCCGAATACGGACTCGATCCTTTGTTTGAGGTTCAGGTATGCTTGGTATTGAGCCGAACCGCGGACGCCAGGATCGTACTCTCCGCTAGTCGGGATACCGTTGTAGTCGGCTCTGACGTTCCCGGCCCACTTCGAGTTAACGGAGGGGTCTGTGGTCGGAGCCCAAAGATGCTATGAAGATAACGACAAGTCTGTGAGGGAACTTATCGTAGCGAAATGGAGCACTTACGAGCTGATAATGAGCCCCATAGACAACCTTGGTAACAACGTGCGTTCCAAATCGCTCAAAAAAACTCTTGTACTTGCCAAGGATATCTTGGTTCTGACCATCAAATGCAGCTGGCAATCCTTCGAGTCCCTTCTTGATAGAACGCTCGTTGAGTAGACCGGCGTAGTCCCTCAACGTCGCAAGGTACTTGGATTTTGCGAAGGAATAATACGCGTACTGAAGGTTTCGTCGGTGATGCTTCTCCGTCGCAAGTTCGACAGAGGGATCTCCGGTGACTGACATGAAACGTGTAGCTAGAGTTGAATCGTTGCGGAACGAGATAGCTGCTTCGTTTCCTGTGGAGTAGTGGACGAAGCCGTTGGTGACGTTCTGGTCGTTTAGGACACTGATGCTCTTAGGAATGTTGTATGTTGTTCCGTCTAACATTGAGCCAGTTTAATGCGTATTCCGCAGAGCGTGATGCTATTTCACTTACCGACATCAACTGGTCGGGTATCGTACACATCGAAGTTGATGATACGACGGGAAGTTTGAACGGCAGCTCTTGCCTAGATGATCCAGATACTGGGGATATAGATCGAATTGGAAGGAGAAAGGAGAAAAGCCTCACAGATTTCGTATCTAAGGGTGTAGTACCAATCTGAAAAGACATTGAGCACAGATATCGGCTAAGAAATCATTTTACCCACCATGTTCATGCTGTACCCAAGCATATCCGTTGCTGAAAAGTCTGCCATAGTCGCGGGAGGTGATAAAACGTGCGAAGGGGGTTATCGTCGAGCTTGGTTTATAAAGGATCAGATTGTGTACTTTTTGACGTCTTCTAGTTCGCGAGATCCATCTAAACCCCGAGTTATTCACCTTTGAGTGAACATTGACGGGTTCATTCCTGGATGGAGTTTTTGAGGAGAATAAGGCATACCTTCATGACCGTTAACCCACGAAGCGGCGTTCATATGACGGCCACGATGCTTCTGAGATTGTGACTGGCGTGCGACTATCGTTCAGGAAGTCTGACAGACTGATGCCCCCATCTACCCCACCATATCAAGCGAACCGAACGGAAGGTCTGGAAGAAATTGGTGATTCGAGCCAACTCTAGTTGGTCATGGTGGTGGGAAGAAAAGGGTACAACAGTTCGGATGTCGTTCGGCTTAGGCGGATATGCGCATCCAGACTCGGAAATCCTGAATTCCGGGGGATGACATGGTCAATGGAAGACTCGAGAGGAATACAACCATCATTAAGGTCGGTAACCTTAATCTCCTCCGAGGGCACAAACGTTGACTGACGTTCCCCTGCCCTGAGCATCATGGGTCTTCAATGAGTCGGCGATTGGGCAATCGGTTTGAAGCTTCGAGAATCCTAGATTTCCAGTCAAGTTTTTCCAAGCCTTCATGACGGGAAAGGGTCATCTCATCTAGGTGTTAACTTTTTCATTCTCAACACTCACATCTTAATAACCCAGTATCATCAATGTAGCCCTGCGCTCAAATTGAAACCATTGTACAAGTCACAGTGAAGATCTTCGGTTCTCAATTTGGGAATACAATTTCGGAAGTCCGGATATTGATCGGATATCACTTTCGCACCGGAACCCGACAAAACTTGACAAGTCTCGTGGTATCGTTCTCATAGGATATCAAGCGAAGAGCGTCAACTTATATCGAGCCAGCAGTATAGCACGACAGACCTCACCCCATCAATCAGAACAACAACAATACCTGTGTCACGACAAAGAGTAAAGGCGATCGGAGTTCCGTCGTTGACGATGTAGAAACTGGAGCAGGTAAATGAGAAACCAAATTCCAAGGGTAGCAGAGACAACAAACTCACGCTGCCAAAAGTTCTTTCTGAGCTTCACCGGATTGACCAAAGCGGATCTTAGTCTCGCTGAGTCCGATGACCTTCTGAGTTCTGGGATCGTAGGCTGGGAGGGAACCCCCTACCCCCGCAATCGATCCAGGGGTCGACAACCCAAACTCCGCAACCCTGGAACGAGATTTTAGTACAATCAGAGTGGCAACAGCACGTCGGTTCTTCTCATTATCCGCGATGATGGCCTTGAAAGCAGCCTCGACGTTACCGGCCGCGTTCTGAACTTTCTTGTCCTCAGAATCGCGAAACAGCGACCAAAGTGGAAGTACCCCGACTGATGTCAGAGCAGGTGAAGGCTGGGAAATGCTGGACGTCCACTTCTCGAATTCGGCCCCAATCAAAGTTTCCTTGAGCGATGGAATCGGCCAATGACTCATCCCCGCCAGTGAGGTTACACAGGGTCTGTGCAATGGTGCGGGAGATTTGGAATTGGGGCTCGTCGATAGCGCTGAAATCAAAGTCACCGCGGTCGTTCAAGCCACGAAGATGGGCCATCATGTCTCTCTTCCAGCTGCCATTGACGTCGTGGTATTCGTTGGATGCTCAGGTGGTCCAACGAAGGGTTTTTAGACGGAGATGAACAATGTGGGGTATAAGATGCTCACAATACTGCATTGAACGTGTTCCAAAGTGGTACCATCGAATACATGAGTCCCCAGCTCGGTGAAAAATGCTTTATACGCAGCGACAGCGGGGGATCCTTAGGAGAGAATGGCTCAGGCAATTTGGCAATTTGCTTCCAGAGCAGGCTGTTATCTATGAGTTTGATATACTCTCGCGAGGACGCGGTGTATACGTCGATGCTAGAGTCGAGGAAGTTAAACTGGTATTCATTGGGAAGGGAGCTCCTCAGTGGGTACGAAGAGATATCCGTGATCATAGGGAGAATGGAAGTGTCGCTTTGGAATGCACTCAAGGCAGCCCCTTCTGAATTGAAAGTCTTCTCAACATTTTGAAGGCCACTGTGGGCTTCACTAGCCAAAACAGCGCGTGGAAGAGTGTATTCCTGGCCATCTGAACGGATGTAGGCCCCACAGCAGCGATAGTAACCCTGTTAGTTTTCTTGTCGTTCTGAAAGGCAACAAGACGGGGGGTGGCGATCCATTTTTCGACCTGAAGACGGTCTGTCAGGTTGGTCATCAAGTGAC